CCCCCCCTCCCTCTCTCTCTCTCTTTTTTTTTCTCTCTCACACTCATAACAATAAATGGAACAAAACTCTCTCTCTCTCTCTCTCTCTCTCTCTCTCTCTCTCTCTCTCTCTCGTGTTAGCTCTTAGTCTCATTGATTTGGCTACCTTAGGGCTGGGTTCCCCGCGCCCACGCGGTAGACAATTAACTCTTAGTCTCATTGATTTGGATACCTTAGGGCTGCGTTGCCCGCGCCCACGCGGTAGACAATTTCGAAAAAGGACTACCCGCGCCGTTTCAATTTCCGAAAAGGACTGCGGCCTCCTCCGCCTCGTACTCGCAGCTACCGGTCCTACGCGGTCCTGGACCAAAACCCGTGCGGTCCCACGGGCAGCTACCGGTCCTGCAGTTTCAAATAAGATGCCACCACCCCCTAAACTGCCATGCCTTGTTTTTCCAGCCTTCGAACGACCGACGACGGAAAAATGTTCTCGGGGGGGGAAAATGCACCCCTGACGGGCTGCGAATACCTGCACCTTCCTGCATTTTTCGAGCCTTCCAACGACCAAACGACCCGTAATGAAGGACCGGTATGACGAAAAAATGTCTCCATGTCTCAAAGGGGGAAAAACGCAACCCTGACGGGCTGCGAACTAGGGCAGAGGACTGGATTGAACGCCTGAAACTGGACTGCTTTGTCCAAAGGTGCAGAGTATCGAGCTTGAACTGCTTTTATGAATCTATGGTCGAAACACGTCCAGATTCAGGAGCTTAATCCACTCCTCTTTCCTAATGGGACCTCGGCCCTAGGGTAGGTAGAGGAGTAGACCGCGCTCGCGACCAGGTATGTCCAGGCATAACGAAAAAAGCATATGGAGGCGGACGAGTGTGGCATTGAAGTGCTTTTCTGAACGGAATCTGACCGTCTTTGCGGTCCGATGCAGCCAGGAAACTCCGATGGACGAGTGACCCTATACCACCATGTAGACAGGCCCCTCCCTCTCTAAACCGGGCCTGAGCTCAACAATACTGGGGGCACCTCGTTGGCAGGGCGAGAGCATGGAGGGGTGGTACCCCCCCATTCCATCCAGAGACGGATCCCAAGAAAGGTAGAGCATGACCTAACGGCACGACACGTGGATGCCACCGACCGAAAGATAGAGGGCGTCGCTGCACTACTCGGGAAATGCACAAAAGACAAAAATCATGGCTATGTATCTTTCCTTGTTCTAGCGGAAGATTCACTCTCGTTTTGCACATTTCGATAGCGGTGGAGCGAAGCCCACAGCGTGGTACGGACAGCGCATTCTTTTTTTTTTTTTTTTTTTTTTTTTTTGACAGCGCATTCTCAGTCACGGAGGTGTCACCGTGGTACGGTACACTCTCTCTCTAAACTGAGGGGGGAAGAGAAGGGCCAGACGCAGTTCTATCCTTCCCCTTCCTCCCTTATCCTTTCTCCGCTTCCTCATCAGTATGTATCACGCTCTGTGCGTTTCGTCTTCCTGGTGTGAGTAAGAGAGAATCCTGACGTGGCGTGTTACCCGTGTGAGACCCCCTACCCTCTCGCTCACCCAAATCTTTTTTTTTTTTTTTTTTTTTTCCTGTGTGTCTGTCTGTCTTGTCTGTCTTGTCTTTCTCTGTCTGTCTGTCTGTCTGTCTGTCTCTCTGTCTGTCTCTCTGTCTGTCTGTCTTGTCTGTCTGTCTGTCTGTCTGTCTCTGTCTGTCTGTCTTGTCTGTCTGTCTGTCTGTCTGTCTCTGTCTGTCTGTCTTGTCTGTCTGTCTGTCTGTCTTGTCTGTCTCGCCTGTCTTGTCTGTCTGTCTGTGTGTCTGTCTGTG